GAGTACTAGCTTAGAGAGAGACTGAAACCAAACAAGTCAAGGGTCCCCTACGGAAAGTTTGCTCCTGGGTTCAGGAAATAGAACTGTGCATATCCATAGTAAACACACAAGATCATCTCAGAAATATACCTTATGCTATTATTATCTCCTTGCAGTACAAATAGACTGCTAAACCTTGTAAACTGGCTGACCAGTAAGATCCAAAAGGTGGAAAGATATCAAAGAAATGAATTCTAGTTTTAAGTCCTTTTCATATACATCCTCTCTTCAAGGATCATCCCAAACAGGCATATTCACTCAGCTCTTTTTTGCCTCAGTTTCCTCATCTGTAAAAAAAGATGATGGGGATAAGTATAGCTGATGAATAACTTAAGCTATACTTACATAGACAGTTGGCAAGTGTAGCTTCAGTCAGTGGGACCAGATTGTGAATTTTCTTACTTACACTCATGTGAAGTTATTCATTGGAAAAATGGGCTTAAAATCTGACCCTTAATATTTGTAAAGTGTTTTTATATCCTTATTCAGGATATGCTGCAGAAATACTTATTTCAGCCTTATTCAATGGCAGCTAAATGAATTTAAACTATTCATGTGCAAACATGAGTTCCAAATATTCCTCTAATAACCCTCAATTAGAGTGCGGGGAATTCCAATCCAAAAACGTGTGGTTTCTTTTAAATCACAGCTTTTCCACTGTTACATGACATCAGCCGTGGATGTAAAAAGGCACATGGACATGATTTGTTGCAGCAGTGAAAATTTAAAGATCAAATGCCTTTTCATATGAGATCCCTCATCCTGATTTTAGCTCTGAGCATCTAATCAAATGCTAAGTATCTGCACATAGGAGGATGGTTGCATATGTTTCAATAATTAGTTTGGCAAGGTCTTCTATATCAAAGTTACACATATTTTTACATAGTATCAGGCAAACCAGCTTGAATTTCTCACTATTCATGTCTCTGTACTAATTGTGCTGTACATCGTTCCACAAAAAAGTTATTTAACCGAGCTCAAAATTTGTCATTATGTTGAAATTCCTTTAAAAAAAATACATATTTTAGAAAAACTTTCATTTGACTTGCCTGTAAAGAGAAAGGTTTTAAGCCAGGAGTATCAAACTTATCTGGCCCTGTGGGCTGGATGAGTTGTGCAGAACCAGTCCATGGGCCGGATTCAGCTCACTAACCAGCCCCACACACTAGAGCCAGTGCACGGGGCATGTGATGTGGCTACTGGACCAACCCAGATAGCTGCATATAGTGCACCCTGCATACTGGTCCTGCACGCTGCATGCACCACATGTCCTGCAAGCCCCATGTAGGCCAATCTGGGGCATGCCAGATGTTGGCTGTGATCCATGGGCAGCATCGTGGACTAGATGACTGGACATTGTGGGCCAAATGTGGCCTGTAGGCCAGATCTTTGACAGCACTGGTTTAAACTATTTAACTTTTAGACTTACAGACTCCCTACAAAGGTATTTCCTCAGCAACTGGAATGTCATCTTTGTCACACTGCTCCTGATGATGAGCTAAATTGTCAATAGAGCTGTTTGGGAAGGGTTTGTAATGGAACAGTTGCTCATTGGAAAAATGACAACTTGTCAAACCTAAAACATGTTTTGCAGAAATGTTTTAGTTTTGACAAGCTTCCATGAAAGCACAGGCAGGCTCCTCCTGGAAGCCTGCTGTCATGGTTACTAGACTCGGTGTTCATGGACAGTGGACTCTGTACTGTCTCCAAGTCCCTTGAGGCAGCCTAGGAAGTGCCCCAACTTTGGGGGCAGTACACTGAATCTAGGAGTCATGCAGAACAGCTCCATTTCATTTTGAAAACGGGGAATGGAAACATTTTTATTTGTTTGACAGAAGTTTTCAGAATTTCCTTTCTGCCTGGAGTGCCAAACTCTCATTTTCATTCCAAATTAGAACAAAAGCTTTTTTTTCCCACAATGATGGGAGGTGTCATGCTTCACTGGTTCTTACTCAACCAAGGAGTAAGCAGGCTGCACCAAGAGGAAGATCCTCTTTAAACAAAATATCAGGGGCAGGCTGGGTCGGGGACCAAGGGAGTGAGAGTCTCTAACAAAGCTGTAACGGTGTCACAGAGTTTTTGCACAATGACTGTGGCCTCCTGAGATCAATAGTATTTCCGGATAGACTCTACCTCTTCTTTCCATTGAAAGGAGCTTATGCAACCACTGCCTTTACCCATGGACTGTCTTGCAGGAAAAAGCCACCAAGTCTCAGCAACCTGTGGCTGTCCATACTTAACAGCTTACCAGAGTGATTCAACAACCAAAAGAAACAGGCAGGGAAGCCCTTATAAATGATTACAAAAACCTGAAGCTATCAAAAGGAAAGGACACATCCACATGCAGAATGTGTTGCTTTCTTTAAAGGGCAGAAAGAGATACAGGAAGCACAGGAAGTGTCCAAGAGTGGACACTGCTACTACAGTTAGAACTGCTGAAGGCAGTGGGATTGTTTTTTCTTTTGCCTTCTCACAGAACTAAATTTACTTTTGAATGACATCCCTTTGTATTTCACTCCCTGTGAAGTGTTTTACATTTATGAGGGCCCCCTGCCAATATTTTTCTGAAATTATGAAGAGACATCACTGGCCAACCAAGCAACTGCAAGAACTTGCTGGCCCATGGTCCATGCAAAACCCAAACAGCTCTGGAGGACACTGAATATTTTCAGAGTCAACATGACCAGGAGGGGCTCACTGTAACCAAGAACAGTAGGAGCCAAACTTTTTGGCAGGTGTGCCACAAATTACCCGCACACCCTCCCCAAGTGCCACTCTAATCCTCTTCCCCTGCTCAGTCTGCTACTCTGCTCTCTGCTTCCTGGCCTACCTGCCACTGTGCTGCCTGTCTGTCCCCTGTCTTATCTGCTATGTGTCACATGCAGAGGCTGTCCATGCTACTTGTGGTATGTGCATCACAGGTTGACCACCCCAGACAGAACATTACTCAATTCATAAAATACCAAAACCTGTTTCTATTGAGCATAAAGGCAAAATCTCCATTGACTTCAATGGTGAAAGTTCATGCCCACTGTATGGCTATTTAATTACAGCTTTAAATATTTCACTAGTATGAGACACTGGAGTCAATAGTAAAGAGAGAATGAATTAGGCTGCAATCAAGATATCCTGGAGAAAAGCAGTAAACCTCCTTAGGAAAGTGAAGGAATCAAGACAGACTGGAATATATGGAAGCGTAAGGTTTTCTATATAAATGGCTCCTGCTCAACAAGTCCCTTCAAACCAGAAAAACTGGAGAAACGAAGCCCCATGCATGCATCAATTTCTGTTTCCCAAAGTTAAGAATCACCTAAAAAAAAAACTAGCACCAAAAGAATTACACTGGGTACTCATCTGTCTTCTAATTACTTTAGGAGGCACGCGGGTTGTAATCAAATGCATAGGTTTGAACATTTCCCCCTCGCGAAGGGCCTGAAGAATGTCTTGTGTTCAAAAGCTTGTCTAACCCTATTCCAATAACGCAGTTGGCCCAATAAAATATATCACCCTCAGCCTAAGAAATCCTTGTCTCTAGCACAGGGGTTGACAACCCCTGGCACACATGCTGGAGCATGGCATGCAAGGCCATTTTGCTCAGCACACTACAGTGGGCCTTGACTGTGGGCAGCTGCCACCAGCCATGGAGCCTGGGCTGCTCACAGCAGGTGACAGGAAGGCTGCAAACTCTGCAGCAAGCAGCTCGGGCTCTGTGGCAAGCAGCAGCTGCCCAGAGCTGGGGCTGAATGTGGCGGCAGGCAGCCAGGAGGCTGCAACTGGTGCACTGGGGTCTGGAGTCCCAGCCTGGCTCCATGGTGGTGGCAGCTACACATGCACCTCAGGACAGACAGCGGGAAAGGGGCCGGGGGCAGCTCAGCTGGTGCGCCTCACTGTTTTCCTCCCACCCTCCCCCATGCAGAAGGTGACAGCCACAGCTGCAGCAGCTCTTGCTCCCAGGACTGCAGCTAGCAATGGAGTGCACAGGGGCTGAGGTGCGAAGTGGGGTGAATGCCTGCACAGCTGGGGAGGGACCCAGCCCCTAACCACCCCCCAGCTGCTGCTGCAGGTGCTGCTCTGGCCTGAGCTCTGGGCACCTTTCCCTTTCTTTCCCCCTCCCCACCATTCCATGGCATGAGCTTGTGTGTGGCGGGAGGGGAGAGGCAGCACAGGCAGCAGGAAACCTGTCGTAGCCCTGAGGGTCGGTGCCACAGCAGTGCTGGGTGAGAGGGGCCCCACAGAGGCCCTGAGCTGGGGGCAGTGCAGGGGGAAGCAGCAGCAGGGGCAGCAGTGGTGGCAGCAGCAGCGCTTGGGCACCAGCAGCTCTACCTCTGCACCGTGTTGCCCCGGCAGCTGCCTGCTCCCTGCTGCCACAGCCTACCAGCCAAAGAGCCCCCTGCTCCCATCCCTGCACCCGCCATGCTGCGCTGTCACCCCATGCCCACAGGGAAGCATGTGCCTGTGTGTGCCTGCATGTGTGTGTGCGAGCGTATGTGTGCCAGGTGGGAGGCAGGTCCCCTCAGGCTCTGGCCCTGGTACAGCCCCTGCCCCTGGGGGCAAAGAGGGGGGTGTGCGCCCCACTCCAAGCTGCCCCCCAATCGGATACACACACACGCATACACGGAGTGCCTGATCTCACTCCCTCACACACACGCACAGTGCCCAGCAGGGCTGAGGGGCATGGACTCTGCACCTACGGGTGAGGGGCAACAGGAGCCTTCCCTTGTCCCACTTGTCACCCCTCCCCTCCCCAACCCGAGTGGAGGGGCAGCTGCTTACCTCCAATGCCCAGCTCCAGGCTTTGGTGCCGCTCCTTCCTCCCTTCCCGGCTCCCCTGCAATCCCTGCTCTCATTTCCCAAGCTCCAGTACAAAGGAGTGGGAGAAGCCTAGAGCTTTTGGGGCAAGACAGACACAGGAGCAACACCACCGAGGAGGAAAGGGAGCAAAGAAGCAGCTTGTATTGAACCCATGCGAACCTATGGGTAGGCAGCAGGGAAGGGACCGGGGTTGTGATGCCACAACTAGGATTGGGCCCTTCACAGCTCCCTTGCCATTCATCTCTGGCATGCCAACATCTTCCAAGTTTTGGTTGCATGGTTTGGCCCTAAAACGTTCTCTGCACTAGCATTTCCCCCCTCAATTTAAGTATCTATTGCTATTAGGTGGCAAATTCACAGCAGCACTTAAGAAAGAGAAATTTGCTTTTGTATTGGCTGGTTTCAGAGAATGCCCAGGAATTTGCACTGATTTTGACACATGTCAGTGGCAAATACTTAACCCATACCATGCTGGTGTATGTTCAGATTAGCCTGTGTCAAGTGTCCAAACTGCTTGGCTAATCCAATCAGCCACAGTGTTCCATTATCTAAAAATAAACCAGGACTTTTTAGGTAATTCTCTGTCTGGACTCTTTTCCCCTTCCAAACTGTGCTCAACTTCTTAATGGAAAAGCTTCAAGGGGTTTAAGGGTTTAAATCAAATAAAGAAGCAGACAAAAGAAGGAAAATCCAATCAGAGCAGAAAGGGTTGGCTTACAGAAGAACTGCTATTTCTTTCCAATTTCACCAGCACTGAACAGAAGCAGCAGCAGGAGACACTACAGAAAATGGGAGTGGATTGGGGAAAACTTTCTTTATTTCTATTTGCCTTTATATTATGAGGCAGCATTACCCAGTAAATAATATACTGGAATGGGTGTCAGGAGACATGGATTCAGTTTCTGGCTCTGCCACTGACCTGTTGGATGCCTTTGGACAAGTCTCTTTGCCTAGGTACAGAAATTGCACTTTTTCTAATTTAGGTGGTTGGAAACCAGTCTATACCCATAACAGAACAAACGTTTGGGGTGCATAGACTGCTTTAAAAATGGCAGATCCTGATGTAAGATAGACCTGGACTGATGTAGTATTAGACTTACGTGATCTAGGTTACACCAGTCTATTGAACACCAGTGCCAGGTCTGCTCATGAAACAAGGTAGGTCGCCGTCTGCCAGTATCCCAGAGGACTTTGTGTGGCCTCCTCCCCCCCCCGACCTTGCAGGGAGAAATGGCTCCAACCAGTCCACTAGATAGCCTCACCCCTGAGCTTTCTGCCTGTCAACCACAGGCAGGACGGGGCAGGAAGGTGGGGAGTGGAGGTGCTGCGGGGAGCTGCCTGCAGCTCAGAGCTGCCTGACAGATGACAGAGTAGTGGGAGGTGGCACGCCTGACAGCCAGTGGGGTATAGCCCTTCTCCCCCCTCACCCCTCCACCCGCTGCAAACAGCTGCCCTCAGCAATGTCTGGCAGATTGGATGGTGTGTGGGAGCACCTCCAGCCTTCTGGCTTCGGCCACTGCAGGCATCTATCTGCCTCTCCCCATTGAAGGGTGAACGTGAGCTCCGTTCACTCCCTATCTAATCTACACAATTTAGAGAAACCTGTGTAGACTGCATCAATTCTGCCTCAGGCTTTCTGAATCTCTATACTTAGTAGGCCTGCGCGAAATGAATAGTATTCACTTTGGATTTGGATTCGGCCCGTTTGGGGACAATGATTCGATTCAGTGATTTGAATCACTGTCCCGAATCGATTCAGCCAGGCCCATCCAAATCAGACAGGCCAGGCCCATCCCCTGCCTGCTTTTCCAGCCCGGCAATGACTGCTCCACCCGTCCCAGCTCAATTCGGAGAGCTTTGAATAGATTCAGACCTTTTAATTAGTTCCCTGATTTGATTTGGATTTGGAGATTTGGCCACCGAATCAGGCTGAATCTCCTCCGAATCGAATCACCACCCAAAGTTTTGCACAGCCCTAGTATTTAGCCTCTGAGGTCACATTCAGACAAGAACAGCCATGTAATATGTGGCACCACAGACCCATCTGAGGTGCCGTGCACCACACATTCAGGCATTTCCCACACTGCTACCTTGTAGCACATCCGCTCTCATCTGGACAGGCCTCTCTTTATGCCTCCATTTCTTCTTTCATTTCCTCTCCAATTGCCTAGTGAAGAGGTCTTTAGGGCAGTGACTGTCCCCTTGCTATGTGTTTGTGCAATATGTAGCACAAGGGAACAAGGACATGTTTGAGCTCCTTGTCATTATAATTTATTTCTAATGTGTATTGCAGAAGTATTTTGAGTAAACTCATCTGTAGCACACAGAAAAGTACAGAAACCCTTTTCCAAAGTACAGAAATACTTCTGTATTACACATCAGAAATAAACAGCATCAACACCTGTTTAAAAGGAAGCTAAAAAAAGATTATAAGGAAGAAAAACAAATGCAAAATAAGAGACCTGAAATAGAATGCATTGTATTCAAAGAATTGCCCAGAGTCTGTTCCAGTTGGTCCAATAAAAGATATTATCCACAAAAATCCTTGCCTCTCTCATGCTTCTCAGACCATCATAGCTACAACATCACTCCAACAGTGCAAATGCAAAATAAACAATACTAAAAAGACAAAGTATTGCAAGGCACACACTAAACTGGGAAACAAAAAAAAATCTGAATGAGACCCAAGCCTGCAAGTGGCAATACCACTTTTGGCCTAAAGCCACAGATTCTACTGTGATAAGAGCCTTAGAAATACAGTAGGCAATGCTCATACAAAGGCCCTCAAAACTAAAGTTCCCAACTGACTTCAGTGGCCTTTGCAATCAGGTATCGTGATGGCTTGTGTGCTATCCGAAAGCTACTGCTAACCTGGCTTCAGCAGTCTCTCTCCCAACTGGACCCGTCCTACTCACCTGAGCTGGGTTGCCACTTCAGAAATTCCAGTGCTCAGAAAAGGTTAATGTTCTGCTGTTTGAACAGGCAGAGTGGCAGGGAGCTCAATGACTGACTGAATATATTCACATGAAGAAATGAAGTAAAGAGAAGGCAGGAGAGGCAGAAGAGAAAAAGAAATGAGGGAAAGGAAGAGAGAAACGAAGAAGAAGAAGAAAAAAAAAGAAGTGCAGCAGAGGAAGAAAAAGGGAAATTGAAGAAAAGGGAGAGAATTTAGAAGAGAAAAAGTCAGGAGAAATGTAAAGAAGGGGAATGACCAGATAAAAAAAAATGAGACATAGATAAGAGAGGACTAGAGGATAAGAGAAGGAAATGGTGATACAGTTAAGAGGGAGGGGAGGTATAAGGAGAAGAAGCTGAGTTGACAGAGAAAAACGAAGGGAGAGGAAAAGGAATGTAACAAGAAGGAACTGCATAGGGGAAGGACTAAAAAGAGGAGAACAATCCTAGAGAGCCTGCTGTGGTAGGTTACTTAGGGGTTCACAAGCCCATGCACTCCAGCTATTTCTTTTTGATTCTGTGTCATTGTCAGGCCTCAGACTGTAGCTGCAAATTGTTTGTCTGGCAGTTCTGGTGGGTTTGATTCAATAACTCCTAGAAGAGGGCAGGCAGGATATCAATGCTGCTTTATTGCCTTTTTCTCTGCCTACAATAGCAATCCTCTAGTCATACAGTATTATAAAGTGTCATCACTGGGGGTCTGAATCTCAGTGTAGTCAAGTCTCATCTCCCTAGGCAGCTTTAATAAGCCAGTAAGGCTGCAACCATGGTCATTCAGTAAAATGACAAATATTGGGGAGCTGACTTGCATACGGCAAAGAGACAGAGCTTAGATGCTCAGAAACCAGTGTTCATATCATAAAGATCCATGTCCGTTGGACTAAAGGCTGTCTTTAGATCTAACCTCTTTAAAAATAAACTTTGTGACAACAGAAAGCAAAGAATAAAATGCGCAAAGATATTTGATCTAATTAATATGAAAATGTCATGCTACAAAATGAAAAAAACTGACTGCAATCAGCCTACCTTTTTTTCCTCCTGGAGTTGTTTTTTTCAGGTTAGGGTAGACGTACCTCAGCAGGGTAGGGTGAAGAAGCTTGTCTGGCTTTAACCATACACAGTCTGTGGACAATTACAGGATTTAAGTTACCCAACACTGTTAAATATTCCCAAATGTTTAATTCAAGTTAAAGCATCGCACACAATGAAATAAAACAATCTTGACCAAGAAAACTGTCTATAAGGAGTCTTTTGGCTTCTCACAGCAAATACAAAGAAAGACCTTCTTTATGTTTCTTTTGGTTAATACCACAGGAGTACTGACTGATGTGGCTTACTCACATCCCTAGAGAGGGGTTCAAATAGGAGACTTAGTTTTGACATTTCTTTCATATTATAATATACAAATATTCCAATATTCCTTTCCTTTGGTGGAAAATTGGCCACTTGATAAAAATGTCAAGGAAAGCAACTGTCCAAACACCAAAACAGCACCATATAAAGCAGCAATTCATACATCAGGATTCTACAAAGATTAGATATGTGGGGAGAAGGGACAATCAATATTAAATTGTGTGGTTGGAGGGGAGGGAGTCTTTTTCTTCCTTCTCAGAATGGGATTGAGACCAGAAAAAATATTTCAAATTAGTAACAAGCAGCCATTGGATAGCAACACTTTCCAGTCTCTAGAGACCTGGGACAGATTTGAACTGGTCTACCACATCCATGGAGAAAAGCTATTATCCCATTACCAATCTTGAGCCATTTAGTCCCATTTGAACTACCATTTTAACGCAACAAGCTATTTTACATATTTCAGTCATTACTTTAGCCCATGATCTTTATACAGGAACCTTATTGGATGATTTTTGAAAAATATTAACACAACTCCCTTGTATTTCCATTGCATCCTACATTACTAGAAACATGACTGAAGAGCTCCCAAACTGTCAAGCAAAACCCTCATTCCCTGTCATGAATATATTTTGTTTTCGTTTTAAATAAATAATGCTTTCTATGCTGCAACCCACGAAATCGGCAACAAAATTCTAATAGTTTATGTGTGTTGTTATATCCAACCTGTAATCAGCTGCTTTATTAACAGTTTTGTAAAACTAAATATAATTTTAATAAAATGATATATATGCTGTTCAGCTTAGATAACACACATCACATGCACAGTAATTCGTGTCTTTAAAGTGCATCCAAAGTACCGCCCTACAAGACAAAGAAGTCTTGTCGTCTCCTCCTTACGCTGGAGGAAATTATGGCGGAAAGGAGGCAAAGAGCACATTTCAAAACATCCCATTAGTTTTAGGTGCATTAAGGCACTAAATACAAGCCTTGTAATAGAGCCTAGAGCTTCACACTAGAGGAGATGACTAAAGACGGTTACAGTTGAAGTGGCAGTTCTGATTACTAAGTACCCTGAAAAATCAAGGCCTAGGGACACACAAATCAGGGCATCCAAGATTTGATGGTGCTTTTGAAAACTGGATCCTAAAATGCCATAGCAAGTCAGTGGCAGAACAGAGACTTCCTGGCTCCCAGCCTTGTAGTTAGACCGCTCAGAAGAATTCTCTCAGCTGAGAAAGGCAGAAAATATTTTAATTTGGTTTTCCTCATTTCTTTCAGCAGTCTTATGGACTTCGGGTAGCCTTATTTCATCTACTTTATGAATGTCTAGCCATTACTTTTTCCAAAAAACAACTGCTCCTGCTGTTGATCTTGCTACTCCCCCATCACCTTCCGACTCAGAATTCATAAAAATGTGTAGCCTCCTTATTTTAGCCAGTTATCCCCCCTGATAAGTTATGCTGCCAAAATGACAATACCTCAATATGATTCCTCCAACAATCTTTGTGGAGTCAAATCAGCAATATGCTGTTTATGAAAAGGAGTGTTGCTATACTCATACTATCTATTTTTCTAGAACACTGTAGCTATTTATCAAATGATTAAAGGATAGTAACTTACTGTGGTTTTACTAGCCTACTTTCCATTGGATTTTAAAAGGTTTTTACTGCCTCGAGTGTGGCACTGATTCCTAATAATTCCGATTTTATTACATTATCATATTTTTTAGATTTATTTCCATGTTTTGCATAAGATTCAAATTGTTACCCAGTTTATAAAATAAGATATATTTATCTTGGTCAAGAATCACATTAAGATAATTATCTTCCCCTTTTGGCAGATAATTTTGTTTGTAATATATTGAAAACCCTTATTTTTTTTTAAAAACACTCATTCTTGTTAAGGTGGTTATTTTTTCGTGGCTGAAGCAACTTTCTCTCCCTGTCAACAAATGGGGAGGTCCCACCTCTTTTCCTCATCTCATGAGGAAAATAAATATCTGCTACTGGCTAGCTGGCATATGCAGCTCATAACCCAAACAACTCTAGGTATATTGTGCATATCAATGATGACTAAACTATTGTTCCTATTACAGTTTACTTTGGGAAGAGGGCAGAGGGGGATTCATTATGGCAATTCCAGAACATGATTAAGGTAACATTTGTCAGAATGACGTATCTTTAAAATATGTGGTAAAGAATGCCGTCACAAGATTTTTACCAATACAATGGTACACATAGCTAAAACTTGTTCGTCAATAACTTCCAGAATACTGAGAGTATGTATTTTGGGAGGTAGTATAAAAGTGATATAGCCATGATGGTCCAGAAATTATGTGAAAGGCAAGACTTTTTAAGGGTGATATCACCCTAAGAAATCATTGCCTCTCTTGCAGTATGGGAGAACACTATTAATGTTCTGATGCTGGCATAGTTCATAGGAGGAAAAAAAAAAAGCAAACAACGATCTAAAGTCATTAGTGTTTTCCTCCTTCCCTATTTTCTCATCCAACCTAGGCATCTTCAGCACTATTATTTGTCCTTGCAAACTGAATTTTCCCCTTCATGTTGTAAAGAGTTGGCATGCTGCAGACAGTACTGTCTCCAGCCAATGCAACCAATTCTGAAGTAATCCAGGTATCAATCATCTCATTAAAGTTTTCTAAACTATCATAAAAGCAAACTGTTGTACTTCTCAGCAACCTGGGTTACCTCCAGCAAATCACACCTGTCCTTTGTTGTCTACACTGGCTTCCCCATAATACAATGGATCAAATTCAAAGTCTGACCTAACTCTCCAGTGGAAAGCCTATGGTTGGCAGAGATGACAAACATGCAATTTTCAGCTTGCAGGAAATATGAATGTTTTCAAATCCATATGCATTCTGTATTACAAAAACAAATATATTTGAGTTTCTTATGAAACAAAATTTATGAACATTTTCTGGTTTGGGAAAACATGTTCTGTTTCTTATTATTGTGTATATACCATGGACTTTTGATCTTGTACTAAACTTAATTTATTTTAAAACATTTCCTGCTGTTGACATGAAATATTATAATCACAGAAATATCTTATTTTTATTTTATTTTTCAACTCATTAAGGGCTGCTGCTGAAACAACTGAACTAATTGAAACATCTTAACTTTTCTTTCTAGAGAAAAGTGTCTTCTGTTTGCAGGACTAAAGTTTAGATGTTTCAATCAATACTAAGTAGCAGCTGCTATTAATGAATTTGGTAATGAAATACTCTCAATTAAACTGGAGGGGACTGGCCTGGACCAGCCTACAGTGAGGTGGGTGGATAACTGCTTAGAGGCTGGGGGCCGCCCGGTGGACAGGCTGGCCCCAGACAGTTGTAATCAATGGGACAGCCTCATCTTGGAGGGCTGTCTCCAGTGGTGTCCCACAGGGATTGGTGCTTGGACATGCTTTTTAACATATTTATTAATGACTTGGATGACAGGGTGGAATGTTCTATGATTAAGTTTGCTGATAATACCAAGCTGTGGGGAAATGCGAGCACACCAGAAGATAGTGTAAGGATCCAGGATGACCTTGACAGACTGGTTTTATGGGCTGATCAGAATCAGATGAGGTTCAACAGGGAAAAGTGCCAGGTCCTCCATCTGGGTAGGAAGAACTTTCACCATAACCAGAGATGACCTAAGCAGGGTGCGGGGCCCCGCCCCCATGTGCCCAGGACATGAAAGAGCTGGTTGTGGATTAGGCAGGGGAGGTGCCAAGCGGCTGGACGCAAAGCTGGGAGTGGCGCCGAGGCGCTGTAGCCGCTCTGCCTGGCTCCGCAAGGCCTGGCACAGTTGCCCCGATTTACCCCCCTCCTACTCCCAAGGATGGTCCTGACCATAACTATAGGATAGGCAGTAGCCCACTGGCTAGCACAGCATCTGAATGGGACCTGGGGGTCACAGTCGACCAGAAGATGACTATGAGCCAACAGTGCGATGAAGTCGCCAGAAGGGCAAACAGAACTCTGGCAAGTGTCAGCTGATGTGTTGCCAACAAATCCAAGGAGGTGCTTCTCCCTCTCTACTCAGCATTGGTGAGGCTGCAGCTGGAGTACTGTACCCATTTTTGAGCACCGCACTTCAAGAAGGATGCCAATGAGCTTGAGAGGGTGCAGAGAAGGGCCAGCCACATGATAAGGGACCTGGAAGATTGTCCTCTGAAAAGAGACTCTGGGAACCGGGCTTGTTCAGTCTGTGTAAGAGGAGGCTGAGAGATGACTTGATAGCCACCTACAAGTATGTCAGGGGAAGCACCAAGTTCTGGGGGAGCAACTCTTCAGGAAGGTACCTCAAGGGAGGATGAGGACCAATGGTCGCAAACAAACAGAGGGAAGATTTAGGCTGGACCTACAGAAGTACTTCTCTGTAGAAGATAACTAGAACCTGGAACATACTGCCAGCAGAGGTTGTGTGGTCATCATCCTTGGAGGTGTTCAAGAGGAGGCTGGATAGGCACCTCTTTGAGCTAATTTGAGCTCATTAGCCTCCTGCCTATGGCAGGGGACTGGACTTGATGATCTTCCAGGTCCCTTCTGGTCCACTGATTCTATGAATATTAAGGTTGAAACCTATTTTATAGCATGTCAATAATTCCATCATCAGTACCAGAGGTTGCTACAAGGCTGTGATGTGATGGGCTAATTTCAGGTTTTGAGGTCTGATATTGATAAGCATCCCTATCTAAATCTTATCTGACATTATTTAAATCTTTTCAGTCTGAAGTTTAGATGGAAAATT